AACACTCTAAAATTTGTTTAAGCATCAAATAAAACGTGAAGGATGAGAGTCGTTGTTATGCTTAATGTTGTTTCTTTTGTCTAATGTTACTAAAATTTTACCTGAATCCACTTGTACAAAATGGTAGGTTGCCACTAGTTGCACAAACTCTTCATTTTTATTGTTGCAGCCCGTACCCATTTCGACATAAGACAAGTACACGATACGTGTGTGATTTGGTCAACCCACCTTGGATACTTTGATTCGAGTCTTTGGACAAATTTTCGAAAAAAAATAAATTCTGATTTAAGATAAAATATGTTTGAGACATGAGATACTCCCATTTCTGTCTTGTTTTTTTTTTTTACTTTTTCTATTGGTCAATATTTGTTGTTTCATGTTTAAAGCCAAACAAAGAGAAACTAAAAATCAAGTTGTTGTGTTCAGATTTTTGGTAGACATTAGTAACAATCTGTAAGGAGAGCTGGTGGAAGACCTCTTTTTCTTTTTTGAGGGGAAGAACCAGAGAGCGTAAACGAAGAAGTATGGGTATTTCAAAATTTAGAATATCATTATATCTCTATTTTTATAAATTTAGACTGTTTAGCCGAAAATGAGCACCTGTATCCATCCTTGAATCTCTACCCCCGAACCTTAAGATTTAATTTTTATCAAATCTGAAATTCGCATCCACATCGATTACCCACACCAAAATCCGAGCAATTTAGGTAATGTTGAATGTCAATACATCATTTTTGATTAAAAATAAAATTAAAAAAATGTTACACCCACTATTTGTGTAAACCTTATTAATTTTGTATGTATTGGATACACAATAGTTATTATTTCTTTGGAAATTAGTTTTTTTTTTTTGAAAAATTATATTTAAATAAAATAATTAAAATGAATTTCTTATTATGTGGCATTCCAACATCTCTCACGCGTCTCAATGTGTGGAGTAACTGAGTTTGCCACATAAGCTAAAAGGCATACAATTTTTTTTAAAAAAATAAATTCGAGAGGGTAATAGAACCTTAGTTTAGTTGTTGAGTGCAACTAAGATCTTATTTTGAAAAATTCTTAAAAGTTATATTTATGACTTTTAATATAATTTTTAAAATATTGTTACGATTTTTCTCAAAAAATATTGATGGACAAAGACTCATTTAAAATTCGCTGAACTTTATAGGCCAATGAAAACCTTTAAGGGTAGCGGGATAAAGTTCAAGTTATTTATATATTACTTTTTGTGTAACTGATACAATGTTTGGTAGATAGATAGGAAAAAATTCATCTAGAAAATTAATTTGAATTTTAATTGACATAAGTTATTCACGTATAAATTAATACGAAGTTTGATTGACAATTAAAAACTACATGTACAAGTTATAAGAGAATTTATATATTATCTTATGCAGAATAGAAGGAGGAATCATAAATAAATGAATAACTAACCTATGCATAAAGTAGTGCATAATTCACTCATAACTAATTCATATATCATTAATACTCACATAATTATAACCAACTACCAAATGATCCCTTAGATTAGGAATGTGCATCAATCGGTTCGACTTAATTTTGTATACTTGCGATTCAATATATTGATTTTTGATTTGTAAACATGATAAATCAATAACCAACAAGATGCTTATTATCAGTTTTTGACTAGTCGACCTTTTATTCTTAATGATTCAATTTTTAGTTTAACCGATAAAAAATTGATCATATGATTATATATAGACGATGGACATAAAAATAGAATTGGTAGCAATAATAGAAGTCCAACACATATTTCTATGTTGATCACTTTTATTTAAGAAAATTGTTTGAATTCATTCTACTCATGCAATGAATAGAGGAAAAAACATTAATTGTCTTTATGTGACGACTCAGTGTTACAATTAAATCTAAAATTGAGAAAAGACAAGATAATACTAGTTTGTATTGAGAAGAGAGAAAATATCACAATATAGAGACTACTTTGTGTTGCATAAGTTCGAAAGTAATACTAGTAGTATTTTAAAAATACGATTTATAAAGTGTTAAAGTCAGTGTAATATAATAATGTCATACCCCGAGCCACCGTGGACGTGGTAGATACTTGAGAACCATTGTTGGCACAAGCGAACCTTGGCATGTGTTACTTAACTCAGCGGAAGACTCAAAGCATTAATACAAGGATTAAAATGCACTTACTCAACTATGTAAAAGATAACTTAGAAACTTTTTTTTTAAAAAAATAAACAATCAACATAGCCAAATGACAAGTCAAGTCTCAATACATATTAAATGACAATGTAAAGACAACTGACTGCTAACTAACTATCTATGAAATCTCTAATAAGTGAGATGAATGTCGGGATAAGACCCCCGATCATCCTAATAACTGAAAAATAAAACTAAAAACAATGAAAAGGAGTCCTTTGGGATGCAAGAAGGCTCACCAACTGACTCTGAGTTGCTCACTGAATCAACGGTGTGCGTGCCGGTCCTAGTTACCTGCGTCTGCATCATAAGACGATGCATGCCAACTGACATTAGTACATTGAATGTACGAGTATGCTAGTTGGAATGCTAAATACAACATAGGCTTGAAAAGATTATAAAAGAAACACTTGTCTTGACTCTTCTCCACTTATGAATACTTAACTGAACTCATTTCATTATAAAGCAATTTACAAGTGTAATATAAAAAAATAAAAATTGTTTAAAATATGATGTCAACTCATAATCATAATATCATAAAATACATACCATACTCCCTCTCAAAGTCTACTTGTGCAATGCATGAATGAAGTATCATATCCCCATTCATACTAAGTAGAACCCCTTGAGGAACCATAAAATTACTACTGTGAGAGTTTCTCTAACCGACAACCACCACTATGAGCCTAAGTGGTGATACAACATTATTACCATCACGCTACCAAATTGTCATATACTTTCTCATATAGAACTACTTAACTTAGTGGAACAACTAGCTTAACTTATGTGATCACCTAAAAAGTATGACCCATTAATACCCATCATGGTTATATGATTTATGGAGACTTGAGTTAATATGAACTCGCATCCCCATATTGGTGCTCAGTACTAATCCCAAAATATACTTAGCTTATCTGTTTTAAAAACAACTTCTTATGTGATTTGAGATTAGTGCTAAAATACTTAGCTTAAAATCTCACTTGGAATCAATGTTTCCTTTTCTTGCTTAAATGTGAAAACATTTGTAAACTTTTAGGGAATACTTAGTTCTCTTATAACTTTTAAGAAATGACCTGAATTCTTTACTTATAGTTTAACTTGAAAATTGAGCCTTAAAATGAAGTTAAAACGTTTTTTTAATGACTCTTGAAAACTTTAAGAAACTTTGCTTTGACTTTCTTCTTTACTTCTAGACTTGACTCTTAACTTCTGTAACTTTGATCTTAACTTTCCTTGAATTGGATTATGGATTCAAGGTTCATGATCTCATGTTTATGGATGATTTCATGATGTTTAGGTGCACCTTAGAGTGTTAAAATCAAGTAGAAAACATATATACATCATTTAGAAACTAGTACGAAAAGATGGGGGAAGAATGGGAGGGGGGAACTGCCGTCTCTGGCACTCTGAGAGGCGCGGGGCGCCAACCCTCAAACTTGAGAGGCTGGTTGGGGCGCTCTGGCTGACACATCACCCCAGAGACGTACATGCAAAGATTTCTTTGGGGGGTGCTGGTTGACGCCTCGCCCCACCCTTTTCCTAGGTAAACCCCAACTTTTCTCTTTTATTTTCATCTTAAAACCCTCTAAATCTCTATGGTTCTTTCTCCAAACATTTAGGATCATTAGTACTCTTTATATATGATTGATTCAAGCTAAAATTACACTTGAAACATAAATCAAACCTCAAGAAACTTCAACTAAATAACCCACAAGAATTCAACGAAATTCTCAATAATGTTCTTCAAGAACTCAATTTCTTAACATTCTAAAACTTAAATCCGCTGAATTAAAACATGGTTGGCGCGTGGGGGAAATAACCAATTCTATGTAATCTCACATACTTTTTTAGGGATCACCCCGACAAATTCCACACGCAAAGCTTGAACTTTCTTAGCGACTTCTTGCTTTCTTTTCTCTTTTCTCTCTTCTCCAAGCCCTAGCGTGAATTCTAATTTTTCTAAACTGAAAAAAGTTTTGTTTTACCCAATTAATCCCTAAAAATGAATTAATATAATAAGGTAAGGAAATGACAAATTTGCCTGTCCTAAATCCGGATTGCCACTTCCCTTAATCCAACAACTCAACTTCCAAAGACATAACTCACTCATACAAACTCGGAATCGCGTAAACTTGGCGGCGTTGGAAAAATTATTCCAAGGTCTTTCCAACCACATCTAGAACTATACCTAACTCATCCTGAACTAGAAGTTATGGTCGTTTGAAGTTGGCCAAAAACTCATTTTTAACTTACTCAAAATTTTTCCAGATTTCCTTATACTTGCCAAAAGTAACTATTTTCATTTTTTCAACTCTTTTTCTAGCTCTTCTTAGTTGCGAGATGTTACAAAAGAGGAAAACATATTTTTATATTTAATCTTTTTGGGTTATTTAACTAACCATTAGTCAAAATTATAAAACCAAAATCAAATCTATGACCTAATAAAAATGTTTTACAAAACCGTTTAAAAATGTTAACCCATACTAATAAACTAATATAATTTTTTTAGGGAGAAGGTATAAGTACCCTAGATTATGACATAAATTTCAGAGATACAGCTTAGATAAACTAAGGTCCTATTACCATGAACACATTTTATGTATAATATGATACACCTTTTGATTTATTTGACACACTCTGTGACTTTATAAAATTATGACACATAAGAGATATTTGAATGCCATTTAAGCCAAAAAATTGTACAAAATTACAAAAAAATGAATTCAGAAATAATAGAATCTTATATTAATTAAAATGTATCTCCAAAATTTAAATAATAGTCTAGAGAGTTAGTTTAACCTTTTTTTTTTCTTTATTTTTTCTGTTAAAAGGTTTTTCTCACACGGGTCTTGGATGTTTTTTACTGAAGAAACTTCGCTGCATTGAAGTAAACGCGTTCAATAAAACCCTATTTCCCAATTTTGATCCTCCTTCCTCCCTCTAATCGTCGTCTACGCGTCCGCCTTCTCCTTCGTTTGCCATCTTCGGTTCGTTCCTGGTTCTCTTTCTGAATTCTTCTTGATTTTGATTTGGTTCTCCTGGTTGATTTACTATTCATTTTTTCTCTAATTTTGTTTGTGAAAAATTAAGTATTTATTGTTCTCGCTAGTGTTCCGTCACCCTGATTTGTTACTCTTTTAGCTCTTTCAAATTCTAGTGTTGTGTTATTGCCCTCTGTCCTTTGCGCAATTCTTTTTGAACCGGTATTTCTGAGGCTTTTGATATGGAACAGGTTTTGTATTGCACACCAGATGTCTGTTAGCATCAACCAGAAGCATCACTATTTTGTTTGGGCTGCGTTGAATCGAAGAAGACATTGGTGCTCTGGGAAGATATTGTTTAGGCATTGGACTTGACTCTTGTGTGACTTTCTTTTGTTAGAATTTGCTTCACTGAGACCTACTAGTGCTGTGGTCTTTTCATTTTATTTGTCTGTGCGGTTTTTTACTATTTCCAATGGCGAAGCTTCCACCAGGGTTTCGCTTTCACCCTACTGATGTTGAGCTGATAATGTACTATCTAAAGCGGAAGATCATGGTGAAAAAGATCCTTTTTGAAGTCATATCAGAACTCAACATTTATAAGTTCTCCCCATCAGATCTTCCAGGTATATATGTCATACTCTTTGGTAGTCTTGATATGTGCATATAAATGGTATGTTCTCAACATGAAGTATGTCTTTATACTGAAAACTACTATGGCTGCGTATCCATTGGTTTGGTTTTGAAATTTATCGGTTTGGTTTATCAGTTATCGGTTTGTAGACATGCTTAATTGTCATAGAACCATCAAGATATTCAGTTATTGATTTAACCTTTAAGATTTGACATAAAAAATCATTAATAATCATTTAGAAACAAGGTGAGAAACCAAATGAACCATGTATATGAGTCACAAATTACATCTTGCTCAAAAGCAAACACTTTCACATTGTAAATTAACCAAAAATTTGAGACAACCAAATATTAAATTCATTTTTCTCCTTTTTACTGATCAAATACTTAAACAATTGTCCTCTTTCCGATGAATGAATGTTGTAAGCCTGTTTGGCTTTCTATACAATATCTTCTTTGTATCATGAAGGCTTCTTGTGTTTTATTCAGCTATGGATTTATTTCTGCTTATCTGTGCGTGTTCAGTTGTTCATAATGTTTGTATTTCTTTCTTCCAGACAAATGTTGCTACAAAAGTAAAGATCTTGAATGGTATTTCTTTTGCCCAAGTGAGAGAAAGTATGCAAGTGGATTCAAGATGAATCGCACTACTGATATTGGATTCTGGAAAATTACTGGCAGGGATAGACGTGTTCTTTATGATGAAAAGTTTGTTGGATCTGTTAAGACTTTGGTTTTTCACCAAGGTAAAGCACCACGAGTGCAGAGAACTGATTGGGTTATTCACGAGTATAGATTTGAAGATAAAGATACGGCAGATGCAGGATTTTCGCTGGTATCTTTTTAACTCTCAGTCTGTTTATACTCTTACTGGCATATCTTATATCCCGAAGGCATACCTTGCTACTTTCTTCTTCGATTTTTGTGCATGCATGTTAGTTGCGGTAGTCGTATGCAGTTTCAAATTTTTAAGAACCTTAATTAGAACATCATGCCCAATAATTGGAATTGTGCATTCTTGGATTGGTGAGAGCGATATGGTCTAGATGATATATTCTGTATCTTGTTTTGTGTTTTTCCTGTTCTACTTGACATTATGAGTTTTTCCTCTACTACTTGATATTACAATTTTTTCCTGTACTTCTTGATATCACACGTTTTTCTTCCTTTGTGGGAAGTGTCCAAAATTTGTATCTTTTTCTAGTTTACATCCTTATTTTTTGTACTCTTCCTTTTGTGTTAACTTTTTAGCATTATTTAGTTATCAAGACTAGTTTCTATGTACATGCGTTTCACATGTATTTCATCTCTTTTTTATATAATTTATATACCAAAATAGTTAGTAACTGTTAATTCGCATACATCGTTTAGAAACACTAGATTTTGTTATAAATTAAAATTTCAATATACCAAAAGCCAACGTTGCCGCCATTAAGACCATTGATGAATAAAGTCAAAAGGCTTACTCTTAGACCAAATTGGGCTTGTGGTATGTCCCCTTTTGAAATTTGATTGCTCTAATAAACGATGCTGAAAACAACATTTGTTCATCCTCTTTATTTTGTCAATATCCTTCTGCCATAATGATATCAATTGCTCCTTGACATAATATTCTTCTCAAGGTTGATTGTGACAACACTAATTACATGCCCAATGTAATAAGTGGGGCTGTGAGGAAGTAAGATGTACGCAAATCTTACCCCATATTTTCAAGTTGGAGATGTTTTCGGTAGGTCCTCATCTTAATTAGAATTTACTTAAAGCAGAGTTGCAAGAAAAATATGATAGCAACTGGATTAGGGGTTTCAGAATAAAAAACAGGGTTAATGAGGTGATGGATATGACTCATTTATTGTATACTGATGACACAATACTTTTTTGTGAAGTAGAGCAAGAACAACTCTGTCACATCAGAATTATTTTGGTAATTTTGAGGCATGCTCAGGACTTAAGGTGATCGGGAGAAAAAGTAACATTTTTCCTATTAAAGAGGTCCACCAGTTCAAGTTTTGGCCAATATATTGTAGTGCAAGATAGAGAGATTGCTTACAGTTTCTCGGATGGTGTACTAGAAATATCAGAGAGGAGACTGACGCTTTGGAAATCCCAATATCTATCCTTGGGAAAGAGCCACTTTGATTAACTATGTATTAGACTCTTTGTCAACATATGTGATGTCACTTTGTCCCATTCCCGACAAGGTAGGCAAAACTATAGACTCGTTAAGGAAAAACTTCTTTGTCAAGGTAACAAGATTGAGAAGAGCTACTACAACTTAGTTAAATGGATGGACGGTTCAACAGAGCAAAAGATGTGGGGATTTGGGGGTAAGAAATTTGAAGATACACAACAACTTACTTACCAATGGTTGTGGAGATACAATTTGGAAGATCAAGCTCTATGGAAGGAACTCATTCAACACAAGTATGGTTAGGAAGATCAATGGTGTTCAGTGAAAGTGACACAAACATATGGTGTGGGAGTATGTAGGACTATAAGAATCCTATGGCTGGCTTTCAGAGACAATGTAAGGATAAAGGTTGGTCGAGGAAATAAGGCTTTGTTTTGGAAGGAAGACTGGATTGGTCAAGGGTCCTTGGAAAATTTATTCCCTGGGTTGTTTTCCATTTGCCTGAATCCTGATAGCAAAATACAAGGGGTTGGTCCCCACAAGGAAGGAATTTGCTCTTTGGGAGATCTCTTGATGATTGGGAAATATAGTGGGTATCGAATATGCTAGCTTTGATTGGAGATTTTCCAAGCATAAATCTGGAAATAGATAAATTGCTATGAAGGCGTCTTACTGATGGTCAATTTTATGTGGACAGAATGTATAAAAGGGATCTCGCCGCAATTTTGGGGAAGAAATCAGGGCCATGGAGTGCTATATGGAAGAGTGTAGACCCTACTAAAGTGAAGTGTTTCACTTGGTTGGTACTAAGAGAGCTTGCCTGACACATGATAAACTTCAAAGAGGGGAAAAATTATTGCGTTAAGAAGTTTTCTTTGTAAAGAGGCTCTAGAAACCAACAATCGTTCGATTCTTCACTGCAAAGTAACAACACAAGTATGGACTCTATTCACCAATATAAAGATCCAAAATTGGATTATGCCAGAATATACAACAAACCAACTAAGTTGTTGGGTTAGAAGGGGAGGTAGTAAGAGCCAGAGGAGGTGGTGGAGAACAATACCTGCTTGTATCTGATGGATCATTTGGAAGGAGAGAAATCACAGAATTTTTGTAGGGAAAGAATGCACTATAAAGAAGATTAAGTGGAAAGTAATTACCACTTTAGGTTTTTGGTGCAAAGAAATGAACATAAAACAAGAAATTCAACTAGTGTATTTTTTGTTGGTTTTCTTTGTAATTCACACTTTTGGAGGTGGATAGTATACTTAATGCTGGGAAATACAATCTTACCAGTTTCAAAAAAAAATTATACGATAGCAAAATATCAAACATATAAAACAATTGAAACAACAACAAATATGACCAAACACATTGAAGAAAAAGAAACTATGCAATTAGTAGATACTACTAATAATAAGTCTGCAAGGAGATGGGGCTATATCCTTGTCTCTCCCTCTTAAAGGTCGGCAACACTCGACACCCTGCTAATCTTTTACCATAATCTTTGACCTCCACACCTTATGGTCATGTCCTGAATAAGCTGAAGTTGTGTTGAATTTTATCTAATTACCTTCTTGTTCTTCTTCAGCGTACCTTTACCTTTTCTAACTCCTACTATTACTAACCTTTTACACCTCCTTACTAGCGCATCTTTTCTTCACATGTTTGAACCATCTCAAACTTGCTTCCCTTATTATGTTCATCACATAGGCCACTCCGACTTTCCCGTATAAATTCCACTCCTAATCATATCTCTCCTAGTATGTTCACAAATTCATTTGAGAATCTTCATCTCCACTACACATCTTCTGAACCCGTCGTTCTTTACTAGCCAACACTCAACCTTATACACTAATGTTGGTCTAACCACCACTTGTAGAACCTACCCGTCAAGCCTTGGCGACATTTTTTTTGCACAATACTTCGGATGCAAAACTCAATTTTACCCACCCTGCTCCATTAAAATTTGTGATATCATCATCGATCTCTTAGTCTCTTTATACTATGGACCCAAGATACTTGAAGCTTCCTTCTTTAGATATGACTTGTGCATGGATCTTCACTTCCACCTTTGCCTCATGTTGTCATGTCACTGAACTTGCACTTTGGTACTTTATTTAGTCCAAATTATCATGAACCCTTAAGACTCTAGGGTCTATCTTCAAATTTTGTCTACCGCTAACTCCACAACGCATACCGTCAATCAATACCATGTCATCTGCGGATAACATACACCATGACACCTACCCTTGAATACATTGTGTCAATTCGTCCACCACTAAGGCAAGTAGGAATATGTTAATGACTTGAGGGTTGATTCTTGTTGCATCCCCATCATGATTGAAAAATGTTTTGAGTCACTTCCCCTATTCTAAACTGAGTCTTGCTCATTGTACATGTCCTTGATTGCCTTAATATAAGTCACAAGTACACCTTTAGCCTGCAAACATCTCTAACGGACCTTTCTAGGGACTTCATCATATGCTTTTCAAGGTCGATGAACACCATGTGGAAGTCTTTCATCTTGTCCTTGTATTGCTCCAACAATCTCCTTACAAGATGGACAATCTTTGTAGTCGATCGCCCCAACATGAATCTGAATTGTGTTTTGGAGATACGCCCCCCTTCTCATCATCATTTGGACCACCCTCTCCCTAACTCTCATAGTATGACCTATTAGCTTGACGCTCGTATAATTGTTGCAATTCTAAATATCACCCTTGTTTTTGTACAACAACAACATTGTCCTCCACGTTCATTCTTCTCGCATTTTGGCCGTCCTAAAAATGATATAAAATAACTCAGCCAACAACACAATACTTTCTTTGCTTGCGTTCTTTGGAAACTTCACAGAGATCTAGTATGGCCTAGTTGCTCTTCTCCTTATCTTGCGGATAGCCCTCTTAATCTCCACACCTTTATGCACCTATAGTACCCAAAATCTCTAGACTCTCTGAATGCTCTTATATGATATCCTTGTCTCCTTCATTCAAGATCTTATGGATGTATGTTTGCCTTCTTCTCTTATATCTGCTTCTTCTACCGACATTTTGTCATACTCGTCTTGAGGCACTTCACTTGATTGCACTTTCCTGAAATATTCAAGCTTTGCCTTTTTTGCTTAATTTAATCTAACATTCCATGCGCAAAATCGTTGGCTTCATCATATACACCATTAAGTAGTATTTATATATCATTAAGTGTTGAGAGTTCAAAATCTCACCAATGATTGTGAAGGTGGAATTGCATACGAGTCCTTTATCTACTGAATGAAAATTAGGATGTCAAGTTAGAATAAAATCACGGAAAATGCCTAACATGCCATGCACTATTCAAAATTACCCAAATCTCTTATTTTTCAGTATGATCTTAGAGTTTGATACTTTCTTCCCGGACACCATGGTCCTTTCTTTCATTAGCGTTATTACACTAAGGAGATCTTCTTTCTCTCTTTAAGACTTTAACTAAATGGCTAAAATTATTACTCCAAAACTTTAACCAAATGCCATATCTTAAAAAGATGAATCTGAGCAATTGTAAGAATCTGGTAATAGTTCACGAGTGACTAGGAACTCTTACAAGGCTTTGGTACTTGTGTTTGTCTCGCTACTTAAAGCTAGGAGCCTTTCAGATCCACCTTGCGTTTTTGGAAATTTTTTTTCTTTGGAATTGCACAAAACATGGAAGTTTTCCTCAAATCA